GATTAATTTAGTGGCTTGACACTAGTTTTGGTAGAATTACAACCACAGACAAGACAGTAAATTAATTTAAAAAATTATAATAATATAATACAAATTTTCCTTTTTCCATGTACTGAACACCCTCCCTGTTTCCCCAATGTATGTTTTATTGCAGGACGTGCAGCGTATTTCATATATGACATTATATTTATGCTTCGGTTCTATTTTATCTAGCACCAAAACCTGTATAAATCAGCTGAGCGGACACGTCACAGCAACATCACGTGACCGCTCTGACGAAGACCGCCAATGAGCAGCCCAAACTGTCAGGTATGAAAACAAACTCTTGGTCTGAAAAAAAGAATCTAATAACATAAGTTATCGTAACAGCAAATGAACCTCATTGGACTATGTGGGACAGAGCATTTTGAGCTTTGGAGATGTGGCCAGATGAATAATAAAGGGTTACTCAAACATGTGTGAATGAAACAAAACACAACTCTGGATGTGTTTTTGATAAGGTAACAGCATGATAACAAGGCTAAAGCTCACAAGAGACAATCCAGCATAATATAAGACCTTACATTTTACCTTTAGTTCAGAAGAAAAGGGCAATTCCAGGGTTGAAATTACCTTTTCAAAATCAGGTACAGCACCTTTAATGGTCCAATATTTAGAATTTGTAGTTAATCTTTTATTCCGACTTTGCAGTTCAAAGCTCAAACTCCAAACCAGGTCAAGCTCCGCCCCTCCCCCCTCGCCATTCCAGCTTCATAATTGGGGAAATATTCATGCAGGAATTGACATAAATTCCTAATTGGAATGTGATCGCACATTCTTTTAACATCTTGCTGTAAGTGTAGAAGGACTGAGTCGGATTTTAAAACGCAGGGTCAGAGTGAGGGGGTGGAGGAGAGCAGCCAGCCACGGAGAGAATCATTTTGTTGAGGAAAAAATTTAAGTAAAATGAACTCGGTCATGTATTTTTGATGAGGGGAATTTAACTTACACATTTCTAGACCCCTGTATGAAATATGTATTAGTCTATAGGCTCAGATTGAATTCTTGCCAATACTGCAGTGTAGGCTGTAATAGTATAAACCGTCGCCATTATATAGCAATCCAACATGAACCGAAATGTACTTTAGTAAGCGTATTTTTGTATTGCGTAGAAACCAGAGCATTGCTGGTTCAAATCCCACAAATAAATGGTCACGTTTTTATATAGAGCGTTTCCACCTTCAAGCCGCTCATCAAGGAACCACTCACCCATTCACACACACACTGATACACCAGTGTACGCAGACACTGGAGGTGGAGTAGGTTAATCTTGCTCAAGGACACAACAACAGCATTCATCTGTGGGAGCTGGAATCGCAGTCTCAACCTGTGGGTCACTGGATCTGACCGCTCAACCAGTGATGTTTATGTCAAGCAGGATTTGAAGTGCCAACATTCGGATCAGTGAACAAACACTGACAAACACAACTGAGCTACTCCATCCAACCATTCATTTTCTTCAACTTATCCGGGCCGAGTTGTGAAGGCAGCAGACTTCCTTCACCCCGGACACTTCCTCCAGCTCCTCCGTTGGGACCACAAGGTGTTCCCAGGCCAGCTGAGAGACACAGTCCCTCCAGCGTGTCCTGGGTCTTCCTCCTGTCCTCCTTCCAGTGGCACATGCCCGGAACATCTCCCAAGGGAGGTGCCCATGTAGCGTCTGGAACAGATGCCCGAGCCACTTCAGCTGGTTCCTCTCGACGTGGAGGAGCAGCGGTTTTACTCCGAGCTCCTCCTGTGTGACTGAGCTCCTCACCCTATCTCTAAGAGTGCGCCCAGCCACCCTGCAGAGGAAACTCATTTCGACTGCTTGTATCTGCGATCTCGTCCTTTCAGTCATTACCCAGAGCTCATGACCATAGGTGAAGGTAGGAGTGTACATTGACGGTAAATCGAGAGCTTTGCCTTTCAGATCAACTCTGTCTTCACCACAACATTCCGATACAGCGACCACATCACTGTCGAAGCTGCACCGATCCACCTGTCAATCTCACGCTCCATCCTCCCCTCACTCGTGAACAAGACCCTGAGATACTTACTCCACTTGAAGCAAGGTCTCTCCACCTGAGCTACTGTCGCCCAAAAATCACATCACTGTTGTTGTTTCATTGTGCAAGACACATCACTAACGTTGCCCACGCCAGTTAAAGCCATGTTATAATGTTGTTACCTCATCAAAAACAGACCTGGTGTTATGTCTTGAGATTACCAATTTCAGGATTGAAATTATCGAGATGATTCTAGTGAAAGCGTATGTTTAAAAACACAGTGGAGCACTTCCTGTATTATCACGACATCACAAGGTGCTTTCTGTTTTAAGACAAAGAACGATGCAGGTTTGTGTGTTACACATGTGTGAATGTTTGTGATGAGGAAACAACATTATAACAGATCAGAAAATAGAGTAATATGAGTCTTTTAACTTTGACAAACTTCAGTTATTGACAACAAAACTATGACTATGTTTTAATCTAAAAAAAAAAAAAAAAAAAAAAGCAGCAACAATATTCTAGTATTCTTTTATATGAGTTCTGACTTTGCATATTTTGTATCACTTGTGGACTGTTTTTGTTGAAGGAATGGGGACATCTAGTGGACAATTTGAAAACGTTTTTTTTTCATAGCACGTCTTTTTTTTCTTCTTTTTTTTAGAAACAGGATGATAGGTTAGACTACACTTGTCCTTAAGATGTAGTAACATGTAACATAACCTTGTCTAGATCATGTTGACTATTCAAATTACAAAAATGGAACAATATAGGGAGCCTATATTCCCAAAACTTAACAAAAGGTTTTTACTTAATACCCCTCAATACCCCAAATCAGCGCATTTACCCCAACAAGCTTGAATGAATTCCTAATGTGAAGACCCATTATTGAAATATTTTACTGAGATTCCCTTTGGACTATAAAGAATAATTTCTAACTCTACATTTTGCTAAACCTTGATGGGTGAAAATTCTACGAACAGCTGCTAAAGGTGGAGCTATTTCATCCTTAACACCACAGGGACACAGCTGGAGTCTTCATGCCTGTGGTGAATCCTCAAAAACATTTACGTGCACTTCATTTCCCCTCTCCATATGTCCCCCACTGGACACTGTACTTCACACGCACTGACAGATGCAGGACTTTGAATCCCTCTCCTTATACGTCTCTCAGCGTGATACCCAGAATGCACCACTCTGGAAAGAAGAGGAGAAACAATGTGGAAGATGACAAAGTGACGTTCTAAAAATGAACCAAAACTCTGGGGAAATTAACACAGAGATAACCCCATATGTGATTAAGAGTTAAACACAAAACTATTATGGAAGCTGTGAAAGATAAGTGCGTAATCGACCGAAGCCAAGGCTGTTAATGAAGATTCAAACCAAAATACTCAATGTGCCAATGTGGAAAATAGCTACTTTAGCTCACGTACTGTTAAAGTCTGACAGATGCTTTAACGGAGTAATTAAAGATCCTGAAAATGATTTTGAAACACTCGTGAGGTCAGAACATCTTGAACTGTTGCTTTTGGCATAGTCCCAGTTCTCTGCTGAGATTGGCCTTATTATTTAAAAGTACAAGTCTAATTCATGTACAATTTTGACTTTTATTTACAGGTGTTAAAGAATATTTACTCCTGGGACAATAAAACTGTTTCTGATATCACCTGAAATTCACAAGAGGGTCAAGATGAGGCTGCTGTATGAAGTAGAAGGTTGGCATCATTGTTTGAAAAGTGGAGCCCCACGCTTGTCATATCCTCTGTCAAAAATGAAATTACTTTTTTAAAAATGGGAAGTCATTTATTCATTATTTATTAATTTTTAGTAGCTACACGGTTAAGTTGGTTAAGGTTATTGAGATAAAGTTAAGGGTTGATAATAGACTACTTAAACTAAACTGGAAACTCCAATCATCATGGCTTTCCCTTATTGAATGTCATATCTATTATATACAATATTTTTTTCGATCAATACCAACAGTATCAGCTATAAAAAGCTAATTGAAGCAGTCTTGACAAGTAACAGCAACAGCCAGACTCTTCTTGAAATGCAGTAGTTGATGTATTATTTTAAGTAAAGTATTTTGTATTACTGTTGTTTTATTACAATATATATTTAATTAATAGCAAATGTAGGGTGACCAGATTTCCAAAATAAAAAAACTAGGACATCCCTGGTTTGGGTTGGCAATAATAAAATTGTGAAATGAGTGCGCAGTTAAATAAAATTGTACAGTATAGTCACATTTTCTTTGTGTTTTGGTCAATTTTAAGCAGCTTTTCTGTATTTTACCTCAACAAATGCCCATTTATGCCTCTTTTTTACTGTTGGCAGGTGTCAGATTGGTCAAAAATAGGGACACCTGGCACATTTCTTGTATAAAATTGGGACAAATTACTGGTTTTGGATAAATCTGCTGGGACAGGGGACAAAACTGGGACTGTCCCGGGTAAATAGGAACGTCTTGTCACCTTAAGCAAATATGTTACTTATAAAAAGCTAGTTGGGGCAATCTTGACACTTGTTGCATAGGCCTGGCTGATTAAGACTACAACGGGATAATTATTTAGCCTCTCATTCAGAATGTTACACCAACTTTTAGGATATCAAACAAATATTTTCTTCCTTTTTTTTTGGAGAGTGTTGAAATTCTAAAGTACTGGCTGTGCTGACCATTGCTGCTGACTCTGCTCCTCTGGGCCGCGTTCAATTCACAATACTCAAACCTTGCTACAACTAAACCTTAACTTTCAGCAGAGTATTTAAAAGTAGTCCGATAAAAACAGTAAAGATTGAAATGTATGTGTTTCTTATAGAACTGAAATGACTTTGAACTAAGTTAAGTATTCAAATTTAACAATTAATAATAATCGATAAGTGAAATAAGTAAGCTTTGAAGAGACAAGTCGCGAGAAACTGGACGCAGCCGCATTGACAGCCGCTTCCTGTTTATCTCCGGTGAGTGGGCGGGGCTAACTCTGACGCCGCTGACGTCCCGTGCTACACTTTTTATAATCTCATTTTTTTAGCACTTTAGAGGTGAACTTTCGCTTCGGAGTTTACATCACGGGACAGTCATGGACACTTTATGACTTTCGGAGGCTTTATTCTCTCCCTGACTGTTCGTAACTAGCGTAAGTAAACTTTTTTTCAGACGGCGGTTACAGCCCACGCCCGAGGAGACGTTTTTCAGTGGAATTTCTAACCCTGAGGCCACTAGCCTTTTGCGTAATACAGCAACAATTTTAATCAAAAGCTGAATATTTGAGCAACCTTTCGTAGATTAAGGTAGCTGCATCTCCTAAAGCTATTAAAAGCAATATAAAATGAATGCAGATCATAAATATCTTTGAAAAGCCAAATAATAGTGAAGAAGCTGCTACTACTAGCCTATATGTAAGTGTAATTTTTCGTGTTTTCTGTCACAGATCGCTGCATACAAGAAGAAAACATGGTGCAAGAATATCAGTCTCCCGTGAGGGTCTACAAGTACCCATTTGAGTTAATTATGGAGGTAAGTAAGCCTGAACAACACTACAATATTGTGTCTTAAGTGTTATTGCTTATGACTGAATGGTGCTCAGTTCATTGTAACTGTATTCACTTTTTAATTAAAAGCATTCAACCTAAAATAATAATATAAAAGCATGTAATAATACCTAGGGGTGTGCAAAAATATTGTTTTGTTTAATATGATGATACAGTATTGATATCGGGGACTGATGTGTCAATATATCATATTTTTGGTATATTTTACTAAATATTTTGTTACAGAGCTACAGTTTTGTTGCTTGTTTAGAAGAAGGAAACTCTTTTATGCAACACATTTGACATTTGCACAGTTTTGAGGATTAAAATGTTTGTGTTTCATATGAACTTTGAATAAGAAGTGGTTTAACAAAGACTTTTAGTATCACAGCCATAATTTTGCCACTGTTTTTTTTATTAAACCACATCGAATAGATTTGAAATATATTGTATTGAATCGAAAGCTCATTGTATCGAGATATGTATTGTATCTTGGCCTATGTTTCGAGGTATGTATTGTATTGGCAACTCCTTAATGATACCCAGCCCTAATAATAACTACTAATTTAACAATTGTGCATTACATATACAAGCCTATTACAATTTGAGTTTGGGTTAATATGTCAATGAATTACATTAATTACATTACTAATTGCAATTTTACTGACGGGCATTGCGATTTATGTTTTAATAACAGAATTATTTTGAAATGTCTGACAAACTAAAACAAGAATCATATTTCAGAACATGTTTGCACATCTAAACTACAGGGTTAGCAGTTTTTTATGCAGAATAAGGTATTTTGTTGTTTGTGGAGGAGATGATGTTACTTAAAAAATTGCAGCCTGCGATTTCGATTTGATGGAGATTAATTTTTTGGCCCAGGGCTAAAGCGTACAACAGGAAATTAACAAAAAATGGCTCCAGCAAAGCTTATCTAACCATTTCCTAAACATCTAAACTTAGACCTTTTATTTAATTTAATCATTAAGAATTTCATAAAGTCTGAGTCACCATTTTGTAACGCCTTGCTTCGCTTTTTCAAATATACCACAAATAACCCGATTACAAAATTGACCTCCGGAGGGTTTCTGGGCCGGGGTTGTCAAGTACAGCTGTTAAAGTGCTGCTGACATAACACAGTGATAAGCAGTGCTCCGCGAGCCAGGCAAAAGCTTGAACTTCTGGTACATTTTGTATTTAAACTCTACAATCACAACAAGTATTTTTTTTTACCTTTTTTGAGTGGCAGCACGTTTTATTTATTCATTGCTTTGGTTGAAAGGATGCTGTGTCTCACTATATGCTATATTGTTGTCAAAATACAAAAATGTCAAGCTTGATTTTGATACTAAGGAATAGACTTGATACTCAATACAGATTCTGATACTACAACACTCTTTCTTTAGAGAATAGAATTTGATTTTCAACATTAAATCGCAGTACTTTCTTATATATTAACTAGAGATGCACCGAAATGAAAATTTGTTGCCGAAACTGAAACTGAATAAAAATTAATCACTTGGCCGAATATCGTAACCGAAACCGAATATCAAATATGTCTGTTAAGTTTTTCACAATGTTTTTTTTAATATTGCCTAAATAGCGTAGAATGCATTTTTAGACATGTTTTTTTTTTAAGTACATGTTTATTTAATATTCTTTAAATATTCCAGTAGCCTTTCCAGTAAGTATACCAGTAAGTTTTTCATTTATATTAGGTTAAACCTTCAAAACAAAACAACAATTCCAAAAAAAAAGTTCATTAAAGTGGATAAACCCACAACAAATTAATTCTTGTCCTTTTGGCACAAGTCTGCTGAGCCACAGTAGATAAGCTAATAATGTAAACAGAAGGCTCAAGTAAAGGTCAATAAGTGTGTGCTTGTAACCTCAAACACTTTGGGTGCATTCACACTTGATCTTTAGAACTGTGCCCAAGCACGGATCGCCCCTAAAGTGCAGTGCGTTAGTCCAGTGTAAGTGCAGTTGATCCATGCCCAGGCACGGCACAGCTGGGACTTTGGCCCGTTTGGAGGAGGTGGGCCAAAGCACGGCCTGGAGCCCATGTACGTGCAAATGCACAACTTCACTTTAAGAGCCCTGTGTGTGCGTCTGTGTGTGCGTCTGTGTGTGCGTCTGTGTGTGCGTCTGTGTGTGCGTCTGTGTGTGTCTGTGTGCGTCTGTGTGTGTGCGTCTGTGTGTGCGTCTGTGTGTGCGTCTGTGTGTGCGTCTGTGTGTGCACTGTGTCACTCATACGAGAAATACAGTGAATAAACTCCACTCCAAAACATACAGCAAATTGATGCTCACATAAAATGAGGACTGTGACAGACAGAAGTTTCGCTTTCTCTCGTGTCCAGCTGTCATCACTGCTCCACGCTCTTTTTATATCCATAAAGTCACGGAGGAGCGCGTATTTTAAGAGAACACACATCTGTCTCATTATTTTTCAAAATATTGCATTTTTCACTGCCGCTTGGATTCATCATTAACTGATCACTAAAGTCGATAGCATAACTAGTCTATCTATACTTGTTCTGCTCAAAATCATTCTAAAGCTATTCAGGAAAGATTCATTTCTGTCCTGTGAATGTGACTTTTTTTAGTATTGATACTCATTCAAATGAGTATCTAGTTTTGATACTAGTTTTAGTATTGATTACTATCTGATTTTTGATCCTTTAGACCACCGTAATGTGCTAAAACACGATCAAATGACTCCAATTAGAAAAAACTGTGTAAATAGCGTGTCACTGTCTGGCATTAGGGATTTTCTGGTTAAGAAGTTTGCTCAGGGCATTCCAAAATTGGCAATTATTAGATTAAACAACTTTGTGAAGTCAAATTGGATTTTTTCTTTCAGAGCACACCCAGCGGGCCCTCGAGGCACAGTGGTTAAAAATCAGGGAATTACAGAGTCAGATGTGCCGCAAGAACAACACAATTTTCCATGTTTTGATTAAACTCATTCAAATCCCTCTCTCTTTAGTTACATATTAAACCACCTACTTGTGTCACCAGCACAGGCAAAAGTCAGTCTGTACATCGAAGCACTAAACATTTTATTTCCATACTGTTCCATAGTCCAGAGTGGTCATGTAATACACTTTAATCTGATTGGAGTTACGTGTTTTTTTATATAGATTACAGATTATTTAATAGGTTCTGTTCATAATAGCACAGAAGTTCACTGTAAAGAAATAATTATTTAAACTTAACAAAACTAAACAAAAAAATCCTTGTATGTTTAAAGCAGACCTATAATGCAAACTGGACTTTTCAGAGCTTTTCACCATGTTATATTGTGTTGTATTTGGAGTGATTTGTGCATGAGTAATCTTTAATCTCTTATTTTCAACACATAATTTTGTCGATCAGCTCCCGTTTTCACCGCCACCAGCATGCGCCCACTGCTCTATACTTATTTCGCTTTCAAATTGTACCTTTTATTTTATTTCTGGATTGTCATTTTGGTAGAAATCAAAATGTTATGTGATTGTGTTGACGTTTACGACGACGTCAGCTCCCATCGGGCACCACAGAAGTCTTGTTTTGTTTGTCTTGTGCTTTTGTCAATTTAAAGCTTAAGTGAGCAAATTAATTTTAGTTCATTTGCACTTAAAACGGCACTTAACTTTATGCCAGTTTTTGTTTCCTGAATTAATTACAGAGATATAAATAAGGACAGCATTTTGACTATGGCTTCAACTAATTATTATTTTAGTAGCTGATTAGTCAAGCAATTATTTCTATTGTAGATTCCACTTTATCTTTGCTAAAAATGTCTTTCGGCATGTATTTAAGAGGCTAAACGGTCCATAGTGATAACAAAGATGTTCAAAATACGATTATTTTAATAGTCAACTACTCGTGATTATTTCAGTGAACTGTTGCAGCAGTTCTTATGAGATTTAAGTCATGTTAAAATGTTGTTACCTCCTCAAAAACAGACCTGGAGTTGTGTTTTGTTTCATTCACACATGTTTGAGTAATCCTGCATTATTACTCTGTCTACATCTCCCAAGTTCAAAATGCCCTCTTCCACCTTGTGATGTCATTAAGTGGCATCCTTTAAAGTCCTTTACAGAATAATAAATAGATTAAAATCCCAATAAAAACAAATCAAAACTTTAATAATCATAAAATTAAAAAAAGAGAGAGACATTAATTACATAAATTTGAGAGAAGAGTGCGGAATGAAAACCTTTCAGTCATAAGCACAGCTAAACAGAACTTATCAACATTTTGAGTTTAGAACAAACACTCCACAAAAAAAAAAAAAAAAAAAAAAACTCACAAGGACGAGCTCACTGTTGGTGCCAGATAATCATTAAAACACACTGTAAGAGTAAAAAAATAAAAATAAATAAATAATAATAAATAATAATAATAATAAAAATAATAATAATAATAATAATAGTTAATTTTAATTCTATGACTTACATAACAAAAACACATGTTAATAAAATAGCCAAATAATAACAACAAGAGTTACCAAATAAAAAAAATTTAAACGTAAAACACACACAGCAAGTTTTTCAATTTACTATGGCTTTAAGTATCTGCTGATACCCGATATCATCCAATACAAATACAGAGACTAAAAACAGTATTTATTTCCTTTAAACAAAAATAAAATAAGACAGAACTGATCCAAATGTGTTTTATGTAGCTTCGTTGTTATGTGTCACTTAAGTATCCGCAGAACAGCTCTGTGGCCTCTTTCTCTCAGCAAATATGACCAGGAAATAGTCTTATCACATCAGTTCATATGTAAAACCAGGATATCGACTGAACCCATATTTGGAAGCCAATATCCAACACAGTAAAGTTTTCCATATAAGTGCCGATTAGGAAAGTAACGATATCCAAATCCCTCGATACAATATTTTTTGCATCCCTAGTGCCAATATCTGATACCAGTATTGGATAGGTGCGTCCCTAAAAAACACAGTGGAGCGCTTCCTGTGTTATTTTCAGTTT